CAAAGAAGAGTCTCCATGTCACCAGTTGTAGTATAGTTTCAACTCTCTCAACACCGGGCACACTACTTAGAGTTCCCAATGCTCTCATGAACATATATCCCTCTCTAGCCTTGTACTCCTCCACCTCACTACTCACAGGTACGCCGGCCTCTGAAATTCTGCCGTTAGGCAGCATGAGAAGCGTTTCAAAAGCCTCAGTGGGGGAGCCCCCCGTGCTGCACTTGTCGGCCTCGGAGGTGAGCCCCATGGCTGCAAAGAGTGACTCCACTGACAGCTGCGGCGCCTCTCCATTCGTTGCAATGCCGTATGCCGCTTCCACACTCGCCACCAGCGCGAATGCCCAACACGCATCTGGGTACGATAAGAACAGTTCTGTGAATAATCAGAGTGTATCCGAAGAGTGTTGAGACAAAGTAGTGAATAACCAGAGCGGATCCTAAGAAAGTATTGAGCTGACTACTGTAGGATGGCTGTTTGAAACACGTGGTCAGCAGCAGAACAGTAGGCAGAGAACAAGCAAATAGTATCAAAGGTGTCCACGACTTAGTTGGAGTATACGCTCAGAGCCTCAAGCGTATCACGTATAAACGCTTTCGTTTAAACGCAATACGCTATACGCTACGGAATACGCAATATGCAGTCATATTTTTTCTAGGGCTGCCCGAAAAAAAATATCACGGAAAAGGTGCGGATCTTCTTGGTGAGCATTTCGCGGAAGTCGAAATGCTAATCGGTGGTCTAGGCAAGTGGAAATGTATCTTCGAAGTTCGCAGGCGTGTCTGGGAATCCAAATGTTGAATCTCAAATCAGTACCGCACTGAAACCCATCCCATCTACGAACTCCAACCCATCCAAAACTACCCCCCCAACAAACCCCACTGTTCTTACCAGCCAGCCCAGCTCGTGACTCGACATTTCTAATTTTATTTCATCTCGATCTTGCCGACCACATTCTTATCGACGAGCATGACAAGACTGGGCACCAACTTCGTGCATTGCAGCTCGCCCATCCCCCGATTTTAACCTAACAAACTGCCCGGGGAAAAGTTTGATGGTGCCCGGGCCAGCCTATTCACTTCGTACTGGACCCCTCCCAAGAAGCGTTCGGCGTTTATACGCTAGCGGATAAACGCTAGCGTATGAAACGCGAAACGCGTATACTCCAACTAAGGTCCACGACACACCAGCCAAGCTATTGGCTCCAACATGCTTCTCTATTCATTTCACTCACTGCAGTCCTTCTGGTCCTTGACGGGCCAGCCGAGAAACGTCAAGGTGTCCCAGCAGTGGTAGTCGCTGACGTCCCACGAGTCCTGCTTGTCGGGCGCCACTCGATAGTCCGCACTCACGTAGCGCGGGAAGGGGCTGGCCCATGCTGACATGTACGTGTTCGTTAATAGCTGCAGGCCATAGGCTGGGATGCTCTCAGGAGTTGCATGATGGGGGAATGAATGGGAGGGATGTGGACAAGACAAGTTGAAACAACGGCAATGGAAAGAGGGACAATTAGTTCACAGACAATCAGTTCACAGACTATCAGTTCACAGACAATCAGTTCACTGACAATCAGTTCACAGACTATCAGTTCACAGACAATCAGTTCACAGACAATCAGTTCACAGACAATCAGTTCACAGACAATCAGTTCACAGACAATCAGTTCACAGACTATCAGTTCACAGACAATCAGTTCACAGACAATCAGTTCACAGACAATCAGTTCACAGACTATCAGTTCACAGACTATCAGTTCACAGACAATCAGTTCACAGACAAACAGTTCACAGACAATCAGTTCACAGACAATCAGTTCACAGAGTATTAGTTCACAGATAATCAATTCACAGACAATCAGTTCACAGACAAACAGTTCACAGACAATCAGTTCACAGACAATCAGTTCACAGACTATCAGTTCACACACAAACAGTTCACAGACAATCAGTTCACAGACAAACAGTTCACAGACAATCAGTTCACAGACAATCAGTTCACAGACTATCAGTTCATAGACAAACAGTTCACAGACAATCAGTTCACACACAATCAGTTCACAGACTATCAGTTCACAGACAATCAGTTCACAGACAATCAGTTGACAGACAATCAGTTCACAGACAATCAGTTCACAGACTATCAGTTCACAGACAATCAGTTCACAGACTATCAGTTCACAGACAATAAGTTCACAGACAATCAGTTTACAGACAATCAGTTCACAGACAATCAGTTCACAGACTATCAGTTCACAGACAATCAATTCACAGACAATCAGTTCACTGACAATCAGTTCACAGACTATCAGTTCAGAGACTATCAGTTCACAGACAATCAGTTCACAGACAATCAGTTCACAGACAATCAGTTCACAGACTATCAGTTCATAGACTATCAGTTCACAGACAATCAGTTCACAGACAAACAGTTCACAGACAATCAGTTCAAAGACAATCAGTTTACAGACTATCAGTTCACAGACAATCAATTCACAGACAATCAGTTCACAGACAATCAGTTCACAGACTATCAGTTAACTGACTATCAGTTCACAGACAATCAGTTCACAGACAATCAGTTCACAGACAATCAGTTCACAGACAATCAGTTCACAGACTATCAGTTCACAGACAATCAGTTCACAGACAATCAGTTCATAGACAATCAGTTCACAGACAATCAGTTCACAGACAATCAGTTCACAGACAATCAGTTCACAGACTATCAGTTCACAGACTATCAGTTCACAGACAATCAGTTCACAGACTATCAGCTCACAGACAATAAGTTCACAGACAATCAGTTCACAGACTATCAGTTCACAGACAATCAGTTCACAGACAATCAGTTTACAGACTATCAGTTCACAGACAATCAGTTCACAGACAATCAGTTCACAGACAATCAGTTTACAGAGAATCAGTTCACAGACAATCAGTTCACAGACTATCAGTTCACAGACTATCAGTTCACAGACAATCAGTTCACAGACTATCAGCTGACAGACAATAAGTTCACAGACAATCAGTTCACAGACTATCAGTTCACAGACTATCAGTTCACAGACAAACAGTTCACAGACAATCAGTTCACAGACAATCAGTTCACAGACAATCAGTTCACAGACAATCAGTTCACAGACTATCAGTTCACAGACTATCAGTTCACAGCCTATCAGTTCACAGACTATTAGTTCACAGACAATCAATTCACAGACAATCAGTTCACAGACAATCAGTTCACAGACAATCAGTTCACAGACAATCAGTTCACAGACTATCAGTTCACAGACAATCAGTTCACAGACAATCAGTTCACAGACAATCAGTTCACAGACTATCAGTTCACAGACTATCAGTTCACAGGCAATCAGTTCACAGACTATCAGCTCACAGACAATTCTGGTGTTCGTGCGTTCGCCTTGCAGGCGAACCCTGGCGTATTTGCCTCAAACACAAACATGTTTGTGATCCCATAGTGCGTGTTTTTTTTGTGGTGACACTACTCGCAACCTTGATTTTTGCATTGTATTTGAGTGCCCTACACCCTGAATGTTTTGGAGAGGTTCTGGAAATAAGAAACCAGTGCAATATTGCTCGCTAATGACAAAAATCGTAAATGACAGGTGTGTTTCAAACATGGACATGTTCGTGTTCGGCGTGGCTCGGCACTTACAGCCAAACCAAAGTCGAACATGTTCGACGCAAACAGAAATAGGAGAAAAAGAACTGTTCCGTTCGCCTCGAGCATGTTCGAGGCGAACCGAACAGGTGTTCGTTTTTCAGCTCAAGCCTAATTATGATCGTGTGACAGAGAAGAGCCTTACAGGGATGACAGAGATGGTAGATAGCCAATTTCCAAAGGGATTGAACCCGTGAGCTGATTACTCCTGAGGGACCTGCCATTGCGTACAAATGCAAGAGGGAAGAACCATTCCAGCAGGTGGGGTTTTACCCTGGCCAAGCACAAGGACAGTGACTCGTGTCAAACGGAGGATGGAAAGACAAGCCTCCATGATCATGAGCTAGGATGCGGAGTGGAATGCCAATGGTTCTCTCGAGGAAAAGGTTTTATAAAACCAGGCCAGTAAGGAGAAAGCAGTGAGATTGTAACAAGAGAAGACAAGACAGAAGAGACGTGGACCAGCGACAAGGTTGTGGAAGACCAGTCGAATGAAGGCGATTGTGCCTTGGAGACGGATGGATGAGACAACGCATGATGCTAGAAGGAGTCACACAAATAGGATTTTTCAGCATCCATTCGCAGAAAAGAGATTGCGACAAAATGATTACAACCAATAGTCAAATGAGAGGAGATAGACTGGTGATGAAAAAGGCTCTGAGAAGTGAGGTGAATGAGAATGTAATTGAGGGAGACCAAAAAGGGTGAAGTATACTGAACAGGGGAGGAAAGGTTCTTGGGACAGATGCACCACATTTGAGCCACAGCTAGACATGAGCACAAGGGCGAACACCTGTTCGGTTCGCCTCGAACGTGTTCGAGGCGAACCGAACAGGTTTGTTTTTTTTGCTTAAATTGTTCGCCGAACAGTAGACATGAGCGAATTCCCAAACCCCTGTTCGGTTCGAGTCGAACGTGTTCGAGTGTTCGTTGCGGTTCGTGCAAAAAAATTCACGAACACCTAGGTGTTCGCGAACACTTTGTGTTCGCGGGCGAACACCGAGGTGTTCGCGAACACAAAGTGTTCGCGGGCGAACACCGAGGTGTTTGTCGAAATCCAGCGCGTCAAAAATTGACGCGCTGGTTGGATCTAAAAGGGGAAAGCGACGATTGAGCTCATTCTTGGGCTCAATCGTCAATTTCCAGTTAGGATAGCATTCCGCCCACTACCCATTTAAACTGCACCACTCCCACGGTTTAAAGTCCACATTGAGGCTAGAAACGTTAAGTATAAGGGTAGATTAGGTTAGGAAACGTTTAAAAACAGAAATCAAGAGCATTTCATTTTAGCAAAGAGTTTAGCAAGGCGGATGGATTCAGAAATGGTTGATGTAGGGTTGGTTAGCAGCCAGGACAAGGCCATTCGTGGCCCATCCGCACTACTAGATACTGCAACTGGGACCGCAAGCCCTCTCGCACCTCTCGAGCTCATAGGGGGGCAATACCTAGGAGTCCCCACGTCACCAAAAAGCTACAGGTTTAGTGGCGGGGGGCTGGCTGCACCCTCACATCGGTATGGGAAGTCTCGTGATGAGATCGAAGAGATTTCAGAGGAGGCCGAGGAGGATGAGGAAGGGGGGGGGGGGGGGGAAGGTCAAGGGTGGTGGGGGGGGGGGGGGAAGCCAAAGGGATTGGCTGGAGAGTGGCAGCTGGAAAAGAAGCGCCCACGCATCCAACGTAGTCCATCCGATAGCACCGACAAGGATTATGATCCGAAGAAAGATGGGGATTGCGCGGGGTTGAGGGATGACGACGAGGAGGAGGAGGAGAAGGGTGAGAAGGAGGAGGAGGAGGAGGAGGAGGAGGAGGAGGAGGAGGAGGAGGTGGAGGAGGGGGAGAGAGAGGGTAGTGGTGAGGAGGCTGAGGAGGAGGAGGAGGAGGAGGAGGTGTCCCAGCCGGGGAAGGCTAAGAGGAAGGCCAAGGGGAAGGCCAAGGGGAAGGCCAAGGGGAATGCCAAGGGGAAGGCCAAAGGCAAGGGGAACGGGAAGAAAAAGGGCAAGGGTAAAGGCATAGAAGTTCAGGAGGAGGGGGGGGGAGAGGATGGTATGGCCGCGTCGGTAGATGAGAATGATGGGCCTTTAAAGGCCACGAAAGGGTGTAAGAAGGCCCCGGGTTGGCAGGTCCAGATGCTCGGGCCATTGGGGGCGGATGAGAAGCGCAAGTGTAAGATGTGCGACACCCGTATCAGTTGGTCGACGGGCACTACGACTCCAGAGGTGCGCCACATGGTTGCGAAGCACACGGCGCACCACGACATTTGGCAGTATAGGTCCCTAAGACCACACCTACTGACTAAGGGGGAGACTTTCCCGGAGGGTGGCTACGATGGAGTTCCCGACAGGAAGGTGGTGAATTGGCCACACGTGGCCTCGTGGCCCAAGTTGCCGGTGGTGCAGACCCCGAGCGCGAAGGATGAGGCAGGCGGCATTGAGCGCTTTGTTTCAGCGAGGCTGAGTAAGCTGAAGCTTCGTGCGGCGATCACGAAGCTTGTGGTGACCGGCGACTTGCCCTTTCGCATCGTCAAGCTGGATGCGGTGAGAAAACGTTCACCCCCCCTCCTATTCGTTGTGCTTTGATGGATTGAGATTGCTGGCCGCACGTGCTACTTCATTGCAGTACAACCAGCCATCATGGCATCATGAATTGATGTCCACCTTATTCGCCCCTCCTCGTGCTTGTATATATAACACCAGTTCAAGGAGCTGCTGATCCTGCTGAACGAAAAGTGTGGGGAAAAGGGCGTCATCCCATCACGTTGGACGGTGGCACGCGACACCGTTGTCCTTGCTGACTTGGCGCTCGAGGCAGCGATTGCAGAGCTGGCCTCTACAACCTGTGCCGTGTCGTACATCACCGAGATGTGGACAGGCCCGAACGGCAAGGCCTACATGGTGCTGATAGGTCACTTCGTGTCAGTGCAGTGGGAGTTGCGCCAGGTGATTCTTGCTTTCGTCGAGATGCCTGGTAGGCATGGGGGGAAGGAAATCGCTAAGGCGGTGGAGAAGGTGGTGGTGCAGTGGAAGTTGCAGACGCGTTGCCTCGGTCTCACGACCGACAATGCGTCTGCAAACGTAGTTGCTCTTCGGCACCTGGCGGAGGAGGGTGAATTCTCGGGGTACTTCAGCTAGGCATGAGCAAATGGCGAACTCGAACAAGTTCGAATTCGCCCACCCTCGAACATGTACTTTTGCCGAACCGAACACAGTTCGGTTCGGCGAACTATTTAGCTGAAAGTATGTGTTCGCCGTTCGCCCTATGTGGCGAACGATTTTTTTCAGCAGGCGAACACGAACATGTTCGAGACGAAAATGTTCATGTTCGCCCAGGGGAAAATTCACTATAGTCACACATGTCAGAAAACAGTTTTCAAGGTTCACGATGATAGCAAATTGTGTGCAGGGTGTATATGTGTGCATGCAACGAACCCAATAGTACATCACATACTGTGAAGGGAAATGTCAAAGTCTAACAAATTCCTACGCTAAGGCGCCACTGCTACTACCAACAACAGCATCCTCTCCACCAGCTGTGTCGTCAGCCTCCACACCCTCCTCCTCCTCCTCCTCGTCATCCTCCTCTGCCCCCTCGCCCTCAATGGCGAACTCTGGTGGTGCGACGCCTCTCGGTCGGCGGCCCTCGCCTATCCTCTGGCCAGGGTGTGAACTGTACCATGATCTGAAAATCATGACAACTCGCGTCCTCTGAGAGGCCAGGCGGTGCCGCTTCCAGGAAATGAGGTTGCGACCAAGGGAGAACACCCGCTCACTCGAAGCGGACGTGGCAGGGATGGCGAGATAATCCCGGGCCATGCGTCTCAGCGTCTGCATGTTGGTGGCACTGCGCCAGTACTCTAGCGCTGTCACGTCGCACCGCACCCTCTCGGACAAGTACCTGCTAACCTCGTCATCCTGCACCATCCCACCCGCCCCCGCCTCCTGTCTCGCCGACAGACGCGCCGCAAGTCGTCGGCGACTAGGGAGAAACTGCGCGTCATCGTCGTCCTCCTCCTCGTCTCCCTCTTCCTCCTCCGCAACGGGGGCAAGTGGGGTCGGCCGTGGAGCAAGCTTTGCAGCCCGGGCCTGGTACTCGGCCACGCGGTCGTGCACCAGCTTGATCACCTTGCCAGACGCCGGACGCGGCCTCACCCTCCTGTCGGTCTCGGGATGCAGCTTCTCCCAGTGCGCGTCGTCGAACCACGCCGCCTTCATGGAAGGGTCCAAGAAGGTGGCGATCCAGTACTCGTTGCTGGTGATGTAGGCGTACTTCTTCAAGTGGCTCAGCGCCGCCACGATCATCGGCTGCAGCGTCGGAGATGGCCCCTTGGCAAGGCGCGACTCCATGGCGTCGATCAGGCCGTTGTAGTACGGCACCACCATCGACACAGTCGGGTACGCTGCCCCCTCTGCTGCCTTGGAGACCTTGGCGAAGGGGCTTAGGAATGTCTTCACCGCCTGCAGGGTCTCCCAGTCTGCGTCTGTCAGGCGCAAACTCTCCACCTTCTTCTTGTCGGTCTTCGACAAGCCCTGTCGGGTAGAGGGAATGGTTTGGGGGGAGGTATGAGGGAAACTGTGATTATGGAGGAGGATTATGGCATCCGGCCGGCAACATACAAGCATGACGAACAGTATTGTGTAGACGTGCTAACACACCACACCATGACATAACCACACACTACAACCCACACAAAACACAAGTGTTATCTGTGTCTGGGCGAAGAAGACAGTGATGGGGTTCTGCAGAACACCCGCACGCTCGACCATGTCGTGGGTCGACCCTCAGCGCGTAGGACTGTCCTGCACCAGCTTCAACGCCGACTTCGGCGTGGCGGGGTTGGCCTGCGAGTTCAAGGTCCGTTGTAGGCCCAAGAAAGACCCCGAGCGCTGTGGAGAGAAGCCAATCCACGACGCCATCTCTCTTCGTATCTTCAGCAACTTCTGTATGGAATCCACAGCCAGTGCTGCCTGCACTGCAAGGTTTATCACGTGTGCCAAGCACCTGCGCACGGAACACAACATTGGGAAGGAGAAAAGGGGAAGTTGGAGGACACATTGTTAGAGTGCGCCACACACCCATACCAGACCCCACACACCCTACAACTCGAACCGCACCGGCCCACCCCTCCATACAACTACAAATTGTCCATGCTGGAACGACACACCACAAAGGCAAACACACGCCCACACTCCCACACACCCAGCCCACGCACACTTCCACACTCACCGGAAGTGCATGCGCGAGTTGAAGAAGCACTGACCACCACCCTCCTCCGACATCCGCCTGAAGGCGGCAATGTTGCTAGAGGCGTTGTCTGTCGTGAAACCAAGACAACGCCCCTCCAACCCCCACTGCACAATCGTCTCCTCAACCACCTGCGCCATCTCCCTGCCCCCATGCCGCCCGAGCATCTCACGGAACTCAAGCACCATTGTGCGCAGCTGGAAGTTCTCGTCTATCCAGTGACCTGTCACCACTAGCCATGCCTTGTTGTTGGGTGCCGTCCACTTGTCGATGGTGATCGACACCTTGCACCCCAACTCCCCCTCCTTCGCCAGCATCTCCGCAATGGCGGACTGGAGAGCTGCTGTTGCATAGACCACAGTGTCGCGGGATACCGTCCACCGGGAGGGGATGAAGTTCTTCTGTGCGCAGTTGCGGTTTAGCAGGATCAATAGCTCCCAAAACTGGAGGAGGGTAGAGTAGAGACAACTCTGAATGGTGGATATCCGAATGGTGGACATGTGAATGGTGGATATGTGAATGATGGACATGTGAATGGTGGACATGTGAATGGTGGACATGTGAATGGTGCACATGAGAATGGTGGACATGTGAATGATGGACATGTGAATGATGGACATGTGAATGATGGACATGTGAATAATGGACATGTGAGTCAATGGTGGACATGTGAATGATGGACATGTGAATGGTGGACATGTGAATGGTGGACATGTGAATGGTGGACATGTAAATGGTGGACATGTGAATGGTGGACATGTGAATGATGGACATGTGAATGGTGGACATGTGAATGGTGGACATGTGAATGGTGGATTATAATAGAAGCATGAAATAGTCAACCACATACTGCCAAAACACCAGGCATGGGACACTCACGGCCTCGGCCTCGACGATGCGGAAGGGGAGGTCGCAGGTGACCACCAGCTTGGCGATCGCCTGTCGTAGCTCCTCCGTGGACAGCTTGGTTGTCATGAACCGCTCCATCCCGCCTGACCCCCGAGCTCCACCGGACGCCGTCCCTTTCTTCTTGGCGAGATGCGGCCAAGACTTGGCATGCGGCCACCCATCGACGTAGCCATCCGGCACACCCTTGTAGCCCCCACGAGGAAACGTCTCCCCAGGCAAGTGAACGGATGGAGTGTGGTAACGGTGATGCCACACATGCATGTGCGCTGTGTGGTAGCTCTCGAAGTGCCGCTCGCCGGGTGTTGTTGTGGATTGCTTCCACGAAATCCTGTCAGTGCAAATCTTGCACTGACGCTTCTCGTCTGCCCCTTTAGGCCCGAACATCTGTACTTGCCACCCCGGTTTCTTATTACCCTTGCCAGTCCCCTTACTACTCTCGGAACCTCCGTCCTCGTTTAGGAACTCTGGAGCGACCACACCCTCGCCCAAGGGCTTCCGAGTGAATGTGCAGGGATATGCTCGCTCCCTCAACTTAGGGATGAGCAAGGGGCGAACACGAACATGTTCGTGTTCGCCCCTAGACGAACACATCCGTTTGCCGAACCGAACAGTGTTCGGTTCGGCGAACACTTTAAGCAAAAACAAGTGTTCGCCGTTCGCCTGTGAAGGCATGTTCGGGCGAACATCGAACACATTCGTGTTCGTCGCGGGGCAAATTGCAGCAGCGGCCTGAACACGAACGTGTTCGGGCGAACATCGAACACTGTTCAGCGAACAATTTAAGCAAAAAAAACAAACAGGTGTTCGCCCTTGTGCTCATGTCTACCTCAACTTGCTCGCCCTCTTCCTCCGCTTCGGCATCGCAATGGATGCCCGCTTTCTCCCCACCTTAACCCCCACGCTCCCTCCTCCTTCAGCCACATGCTGTGAGGCCGCCTCTGTCGCCGCCCCTCCACCACCCTCTCCCACCCCCTCCTCCACCTCCTCTGGCTCCAACCCATCCATCTCATGGTCCTCCTCATCATCCCCCCCTTTCCCACCGCCATGCGTCTCGGGATCCCACCCGGCCTCACTATCATCCCCGCTCCCCTCATCGTCCTCATCCTCCTCGCCCTCACCCTCCTCCTCCTCATCCTCCTCCCCACTGGCACTCTTCGGCTGCGTCTGCCCAGAAGGAGGGGGTCGCGGGCCTGAGTAACGGAACGAGTGACGGGACGGGACGTCGGCGCCGCTACGGAAAGAAACCCCTCGACGAAACAAGCGCTGGCTCCTGCAGGTCCATCCCCTACTCGCCCCTGCATAGGTCGTGGTGGAGAACCTGGTGTACCGCCCTCAGCGCTGCCTGCACCTCGTTCTACAGATCCATGTTGGCTGGAAGCCATAAATCCGCCCTCGGCCTTAAAATTCTAAAACCCCAAAGGAACGGTCGCAAGCCACGGATAGCACGGTCCTAATTGAACTCCTAGTTACGTGTGGCACGGAGAAATGCCCGCCCCTACAATACAACTAGAGAATTGACCTGCGCGAAATTGATCCCGTAGCAACTACGAACTAACCCCTCGCGATTTCTGAAATTACCCTACACTACTACGAACTACTTAGTTGAGATGTTCGTGTAATACTTAGGGAACGGTGTGCGGTGGCTCTTAAAGGGATGATGTCTATGGTGGTTGAGGGAGGGAGGGCTAACCAACAAAGACGTTTTGAGTTTGAGCTCAAAAAATGAGCTCAAACTCAACTTGGCCGCGACCTAAATCTGGTCGCGGCCAAATTTGACGCGAACACTTTAGTGTTCGCGTCAACCACTGGACGAACACGAACATGTTCGTGTTCGTCCACACTCCACCAATTGGAGGAGGCGAACGGCGAACATGTTCGGGCGAACACCGAACATGTTCGCCTCGAACTATTTTTTTATAAAAAAAAAATAGTTCGGTTCGCCTCGAACATGTTCGAGGCGAACCGAACAGGTGTTCGAGATGTTGCTCATGTCTACTGCACATGCCAACGGAGGCTCGTTAGAGAAGAGTGCAGGCGAGGCTGTGGTGGGGAGGACAGCCAATAACGCCACTCATGCCACTAATGCCACTCGTGCGACGCATGCCACTCCTGTCACTCATGCGACGTCTGCCGTTTGTGCTGCTCATGAGGTAGCTGCTTCTGGTGCTGTTGCTGCTGTTGTGAGTGATGGAAGGGGCGATGCGGCAGGTGGGGCGGTGGGTTGTGAGGAAAGGACGGAAGCGGATAGGGCGGGGGGTGCATATCCACGGGAGAGTGGTGTTGTGAGGGTGGGGGGTGGAGAGGTGGAGGGGAGTGTGCTTAGAGGTGTGGGAATACAGGGTGCTGGGGCAGTGGATGTAGGCTGTGAAACACGCAGGGGACGAGAAGGAGGTGGGGAGGGGTCTGGGAAGGCAGTTGAAGTGGTGGTGAGAGAACCTGGAGGTGGTATGAGGCGAGAAGAGGGAGTGGGAGAGGAGGGCGGGGTAGAGGAATGGAGGGTGCAGGAGCGGGAGGATGGGGACGATGAGGGTAATGAGGGTAATGAGGATATGAAGCAAGAGGGGGATGAAGAAGAAGATGGCGAGGAGAGAGGAGATGAGGAAGGAGAGGAGATGGGGGAAGTGCAAGGGGAGGAGCAAGGGGAGGAGGTGCTTTGTGGGCAAGACGACATGGAGGATGCGGAAACTGAGGAGGAGGGAGGGGAGGAGGGAGAGGAGATGGGACAGGAGGAGCAGTGTGAAAAGGGGGATGAGGAGATGGGACAGGGGGACATGTGGGAGCAACTAGATGAGGCTGGGGCTGGGGAGGGCGGGCAAGGGCGAGAGAGGCAAGGCGGGGAGGGCGAGGGGGGGAGTGAGGGCGGGGAGGAGTCCCCTGGTGCACAGGGTCTTGTTGTGAACCTCCGAGGCATCTTCGACTCTGTGAGCGAGGGGGGCAATTCAGGAGGTGGTGTGGCAGGTGGTGGGGCAGGTGGTGGGGCAGGTGGTGGGGCAGGGGGTGTGGCAGGTGGTGGGGCAGGTGGTGTGGCAGGTGGTGTGGCAGGTGAGCGTGCTACAGCTGGAGTGGTGAGTCCACTTCAGGCAAGCGGGCAAGGAAGTGTGGCTGCTGATGTGGCAGATGCAGCCGGTGATGTGGCTACCGTGGCAGCTGGCACTGGGGATGAACACGTTCGTGTTCGGGCCGCTGCTGCAATTTGCCCCGCGACGAACACGAACGTGTTCGATGTTCGCCCGAACATGCCTTCACAGGCAAACGGCGAACACGTGTTTTTGCTTAAAGTGTTCGCCGAACCGAACAGTGTTCGGTTCGGCAAACGGATGTGTTCGTCTAGGGGCGAACACGAACATGTTCATCCCTACCCTCCCCATTGGTCAAAACGTTCCACCGGAGAAAGCCGGCTAGAGGGAAGGAGAATGTTGAGAAGACGAGTCTTGCAAAGACAGATCTTGAGAAGGAGGTAGGTGGAAAGAGGTTGGTGAGGGGTGAGGGCAGTGACAAGGGGAAGAAGGTGGGCCGAGGAGGGGGGAGAGAGGGAGACAGGGGACGCGGCAGAGGTGTGGAGAGGAAGAAGGATGGGCCTCTGCCGTTGATGGTAGAGGGCGGAGAGGAAGGGGAGCAGGGGGAGAGTGCAGGGAAGGCAGAGCGAGAGGTGAGGGATGGCAGAAGGAAGAAGCGGAAGGGGGGTGAGCGACGAGAGGGGAAGAGGCGGAGGGATGAGGAGGGGGCGGAGGTGAGTGAGGAGGAAGGGGAGGTTTGGGTAGGTTACATGGATGAAGGGGTGAGATGCGGTGGAGAGGGATGGGGGAGGGTGGAGGGCGGTGCTGCAGCTGGGGAAGAGGAGGACACCGTGTGGTGTGTAGAGGAGGAGAGGGGGAGGGGATCGGTGGAAAGGAAGGTGCGTGGTGGTGGCAAGGAGAGGGAGCGAGAGAGGGAGCGGGAAATGGAGGTACGGACAAAACGTCGAGACGATGAAAGGGAGGTGAGGTCGAAACGCCGGGAGGATCCCTTGAGAGATGGGGGGCAGCGGAGAGAGGAGAGAGAAGCACGAAGCCTACCAAAGGAGCTTCCCCCGTTGGAGAGCTACCGGGTTGACATGCTGAGAATGAGTTTTATACGATGCTCGACATTGACAGCTCAAACAGATTCTAACAGTTGATTAAAGTCAACTTTGGACCCATTCTGGCTTGAACCAAAAGGTACTGGAAGGTACCCTGGTTTGACTTTCTGTCCACCTCTAAGGTATAAACACCAAGAAACAAGCAGCAGGATCACAAACAAAAGACAGCGGGAGTCAGTTAACTCAAAAGTATTTAAGAAACAACGAATACAAAGCAAAAAGGAGGGAAGGGAATGGAAAACACGGCTTACAGGTCTACCAAGTTCGTCATGTTACCAAGCTCAGCAGGAATGGAGCCAGTGAGTTGATTTCCATACAATTGCCTGAACGGAGCAACAAGGAGTGCGAGGCCAAGAGAGGCAGAACAGCAGCAATTATCTCTCATCTCTCCAGCAGCCAACTGATGATATTATCGTTCGTTTTGGTGGTGGAGAAACTTACAAGGTCTTGAGAGTCGGCACGGTGGTAGCTACTCTTCGTTCACAAACCTCGGAAACCACCATCCAGCTAGACAACGTTCTGTTTCTCCCTTCATCGGTTCACAACCTGCTCTCAATTCGTGCACTTGGTGCTGCCGGCATTGCCGTTTCCTTCCCCACTGCAGGGCGGGTTGAGCTCAAAACTGATGAGGCTCATATTGGCGAGGGCTTTACCCGCAGAAATCTGTTTTATCTTCAGCTGCATCATGGGAGCAGCTGCATCATGGGAGCAGCTGTTTTATCTTCAACGGCATGTCGAGTCTCCACCACCACCTCCTCATACCTTTGGCATCACCGTTTCGGGCATCTTAACATGCGGGACTTGTCAACACTTCATCGGCAGCAGCTGGTCACCGGTCTTAACCTCTCCTCCTCGATTCCCCAATGCATCTCGGAATATCGTGGGAAACAAACGCGTCAGCCATTTGGCGTGTCCCATTCTCGCACCACAGCACCGCTCCAACTCATTCATTCGGATATTGCTGGACCGTTTTCATATGGAACTACCATTGGAGGCGCTCGCTACCTTCTCACCTTCATCGACGACTATTCCCGCCACATTACCGTGTATCTCCTACGCCATCGTTCAGAGGCATTTTCATGCTTCAAAGATTATATCACTCGGGTGCACAATATGCATTCCCCAAGGACGATCAAAGCGTTTCACTCCGATGGTGCCTTAGAGTTCAATTCCGACGCCTTCACTTCATTCCTTAAAGCTCATGGCATCGCTCGACACCGCTCTATGCCATACACACCCAAGCAAAATGGAGTTGCTGAACGTGCCAATCGGACTATACTTGAGATGGTCCGCTCCATGCTTCATGACGCACACATGGACAAAGGATGGTGGGGTGAAGCCGCTCTCACTTCTGCCTATCTCCGAAATCATGCCATTAGTCAGGGTGGTTGAACTTCTAAGACTCCCATAGAAATATGGACCGGTGCACGTCCGGACGTATCACACCTCCGCATTTCGGTTCACCTGTTTCAGTCCTCATTCCTCCGCAACGGCGCTCTAAGCTCGACGACCGAAGCAGGGCCGGCATCATGGTTGGGTATGGTCATCTTGACGGCACCAAAGCTTATCGCATCTATATTCCATCTCAGCACCGTGTCACACTTTCTCGTGATGTCATTTTCATGGAGCCCTCTTCACCACCTTCCGATGACCCTCGACAACCTCCATCGTCATCTCCACCACCCATATCATCCTCTCCGCCTCCTCCTCCGCCCCCTTCCCTCTCAGCCCCAACCTCCCCTCCCTCTTCTTCACCTACCATGCCCTCATCCACCATCCTCCTCCCACCATCTCCAAATCTGCCCGCACCAGCCACCTCTTCTCCTCCTCCTTGTTTTCCAACCTTCCTCTGCCCTCGACGCCGCAAGACTTCCGCCTTCCATCCCTCTCCTCTCCTCCTTCAGCTCGTCCTCCCCCTTGCACCTCTAGTTCCTCACCACCATCCCCTTCAGCTCCTTCCAATCCTTCACTTTTCTCACTGCTCAAGGTCTTACCCTCTCCTTCTGAACCCATTGACTTCACCCTTCCTCCTCTTTCCAAGACCTCCGCTAATGCCACCCTTCATCATCATTATGAACCTCAAACCATTCATGAGGCCCGCACTGGCCTTGATGCTGCTGAATGGATCAAGGCTGCTGATGTAGAACTCGCTGCCCTGCACGCTACTGACACTTACAGCGTTGTTCCTCGACCACCCACGTGCAAGCCGATTCCATGCAAATGGATTTTCAAGGTCAAGGAGCATGCTGATGGTTTTATTGAACGCCGCAAGGCCCGAGTTGTTGTCAAAGGTTTCAAACAACGCGACGGTGTTGATTTTCATGACACCTTTGCTCCTACCGTCCGCTTCGCCACCATCCGCCTCTTCCTCACCATTGCTGCCGCTTTCGACCTAGAAGTCCATCAGCTGGACATTTCCAACGCCTTCCTCAACGGCACTCTTGATGAAATTCTCTACATGATGCAGCCTCCCGGTTATGAACTTCCGGCGGTCCATGGTGTTGAGGAAGTTTGTCTCTTGCACAAACCGTTGTACGGGTTGAAGCAAGCGCCGCGGTGCTGGTACCGCAAACTTCGTGAAGAGCTTGCTGCCTTTCATAAAGGCATTCGATTTTTGAAGCCATGCATGTATACATGAAGTTTGCATGCATGCATTCGATTTCATAAACTTCTAACCCGTCCACGCGGATCTGGCAGGTAGCTGACTCAAGGAAAAGTCGGAGCCAGGTTGTATATAAGTTGGAAAAAACGCAAGTTTGAAATTGCGTATTTTGTTTAGACGCATCTAGAATTCATACGCTGCGCAAGTTTGAAATTGCGTATTTTGTTTAGACGCATCTAGAATTCATACGCTGCGCTCTGCGTTTTTTTTTAATACGCCAAAATTTCGCTCAGGCTGACCACCAGAAAAACAGAAACAATTGAACTCAAATTTGAGTTTCGAAATTGAGATCTGAGTTCGCACATTGCAAATGCAGCCTCAGATCTAAATTTCGAAATTGATTGTTGATCATCCCATTCTATCCACTGCTCAACTACACACTCCACCCCCATCGACTACCAAACCCTTCCAATTTGTTGCCAAGTGGAAGACACTTCACTTCAACCAGACGCATCCTCCCCACCCAATGTCAGGTCGTTTGTCCCGTCGATAATCTCTGCGTTCGATACCTTTCTTCCCTTCTTATTTCACAAACGATAACCTACTACAGCAGCAGTCAGGTAGTAGACTACTACAGCAGCTCCTGTTTCCATCTCTTAACCTAGCATCTAATCTGCCCGGAAAAAAAATAGCAGCCCAGGCAACCGAATTCCTGTGTGTACCAGACCCCCTCCAGCCAGCGTACTGCGTATAGACGCTAGCATACTAAACGCAAAACGTGTTCATTCCAACTTAGGGTTGTTTTTTCTCGACCAGCTTGTTACGACGGACGAGCCACGACCAGCTTGGCTTGTCAGCCCGCCGGCTTGTCTCGGCTCAAGACGAGCCGGCTCAGCCCAGAATTGTGCTGATGTGGCAGACAGGTGCCTTACAGAGATTTCAGAGATAGTAGAGAGCCAATTTCCACAGGAATTGAACCCGTCAGCTGATTACTCCTGAGGGACCTGCCATTGCGTACGAATACAAGAAGGAAGAACGAGACCGGCAGGTGGGGTTTTACTGCAGGAAATCACAAGGGCAGTGACCTGTGTCAAAAGGAGGATGGAGGGATTTTTGCATCAAGACGAGCCTCTAGGATCATGCACTAGGGTGAGGAGTGGATTTTTTATGACTTTTCTTCAGGAAAATGGTTTATGGAAGCAGTGAATGTGTGATGGAAAATAGAAGTGTCCACACCAAAGCAAGGCGAAATCATCTGAGCACCAAATTTGAACCACAACCCATCCCTTCATAACATTCATGAAGGGGTGGAAGTGAGCACTTCAGGAATGGCTTCAATGCATGCATGCATGTATGTATGTATCATGTCATCCCCTCATGTTGTTAGCTCATGCTCAACATGAGAAAAACGCTTCTGTGAGAGGAATCTGACAGCACTGGACTTGAGTGTCACTAACAGGTAAGAAACTTGGGTGAGTGCGCTGATGGTAGCAAGAATGCTGCCAGACAGCTGGTTGCGTGAAAGGTCTCTGAGTAGAAAATCGAAAGCCATGATATAAATATCATTGCGGTTACAGTGAGGTGAGGTCAACAGTTACAAGAGAAGACATGGACATTTCTTTGAAAAAGGTTGGGGGACAGCGATAAGGTTCAGGAACAACAGATCAAGGTTGAAGATTATCGACCTTTGGAGACAGATGAGTCGAGGCAAGACGCTGAAAGAATGTGAAACAACATGAGTGAAGGAAATTTGACCTTTACAGCAAGACATGAGCATCGAACCAAACCAGATGAAGGGTCAATAACAAATAAAACGGAGGATGCTAAAAGAATGTGAAACAATATCAGTGATACTTCTCCCAAGGGCGGTAGTTGTCAACAGCTTACTCGTACTCCCTAGTTGCTGTCGCATTAGTAGGATCGGACGGCGCAGTGGGGACGGGTAGGGTTGAGCACGTTCGAGGCGAACCGAACAGGATTGTTTTTTTGCTAAAAATGTTCGTGGCGAACGTGTTCGGTGTTCGTCTCGTCGTGGGTGCCGAGCCGCGACGAACACGAACACGTTCGTGTTCATTTCGGGGAAAAAACGAACACGAATGTGTTCGTCGCGACTGTCCTGCGATTAGACATGAGCACAAGGGCGAACACCTGTTCGGTTCGCGTCGAACACGTTCGAGGCGAACCGAACAGGTTTGTTTTTTTTGCTTAAATTGTTCGCCGAACAGTGTTCGATGTTCGCCCGAACACGTTCGTGTTCGGGCCGCTGCTGCAATTTGCCCCGCGACGAACACGAACGTGTTCGATGTTCGCCCAAACATGCCTTCACAGGCGAACGGCGAACACGTGTTTTTGCTTAAAGTGTTCGCCGAACCGAACAGTGTTCGGTTCGGCAAACGGATGTGTTCGTCTAGGGGCGAACACGAATTCGTGTTCGCCCCTTTCTCATCCCTACCTGCGATCTACAATTTAGGTTGCGGGACATTCGGTTTGAGCTCAAATTTGAGCTCAAACTTAGTCGCGCTATTCAGCAGCAGCCATCACTACAACGGCCCCCACACATCACGCCATTATCACCTCATTAGGACTTAGCGTAAGTAGATTGTTACCTTAGGTTAGTCTGACTAGACTTGGGTAGGTGAGATTTAGGTTGTCAAGAAGGGATTAGACAGGAATACTGCAGAATCTCGTAATTTGGGGGTTGGGGGTATGCATTCGCAAATTTCGTATGCATGGGGTTGGGGAAAGCATTCGCAAATTGCGTAAGTTCGGGATTTATAGGAATAGCGTTCGCATTTTTCGTAAGTTGGGTTGGGGGATTGTGGGGCGGTGGTAGACATGAGCACAAGGGCGAACACCTGTTCGGTTCGCCTCGAACGTGTTCGAGGCGAACCGAACAGGTTTGTTTTTTTTGCTTAAATTGTTCGCCGAACAGTGTTCGATGTTCGCCCGAACACGTTCGTGTTCGGGCCGCTGCTGCAATTTGCCCCGCGACGAACACGAACATGTTCGAGGTTCGCCCGAACATGCCTTCATAGGCGAACGGCGAACACGTGTTTTTGCTTAAAGTGTTCGCCGAACCGAACAGTGTTCGGTTCGGCAAACGGATGTGTTCGTCTAGGGGCGAACACGAACATGTTCGTGTTCGCCCCTTGCTCATCCCTAGGCGGTGGCGAGCAATCGCAAATTTTGTAGATCTAGAGGGGGGATAGGATTTCGCCTTACGTGGGGGGGAAATCCAGGTGGCGAGCTGGATACGCAAAAATATGGATCCCTAACTAGCACAAGCCAGATCCAGCCTATATTTTTCCCCCAGTTTCCCGCAATTCCCCTACCCGCCGTTGCTTATTTCGAGCGTAACAGAGGATGCCCAAAAGCGAACACGAACATGTTTCCCACGAACACGTTCGTGTTCACCTCCGAAACCAAGGTGTTCGCCTTCACAGGCGAACGGCGAACACCTTTTTTTGCTTAAAGCGTTCGGCGACCCGAACAGTGTTCGGTTCGCCGAACGGCGGTGTTCGTGCAGGGGCGAACGCGAACACGTTCGTGTTCGCCTCTTGCTCATCCCTAGCAGCAGCCAACACGTTCGACACCATGGAGTCGCGCCTTGCCAAGGGGCCATCTCCGACGCTGCAGCCGATGATCGTGGCGGCGCTGAGCCACTTGAAGAAGTACGCCTACATCACCAGCAACGAGTACTGGATCGCCACCTTCTTGGACCCATCCATGAAGGCAGCGTGGTTCGACGACGCGCACTGGGAGAAGCTGCATCCCGAGACTGACAGGAGGGTGAGGCCGCGTCCGGCGTCTGGCGAGGTGATCAAGCTGGTGCGCGACCGCGTGGCCGAGTACCAGGCCCGGGCTGCAGAGCTTGCTCCACGGCCGACCCCACTTGTCCCCGTTGCGGAGGAGGAGGGAGACGAGGCGGAGGACGACGATGACGCGCAGTTTCTCCCTAGTCGCCGACGACTTGCGGCGCGTTTGTCGGCGAGCCAGGAGGCGGGGCGGGGGGGGGGTGGGATGGTGCAGGATGACGAGGTTAGCAGGTACTTGTTCGAGAGGGTGCGGTGCGACGTGACAGCGCTAGAGTACTGGCGCAGTGCCACCAACATGCAGACGCTGAGGCGCATGGCCCGGGATTATCTCGCCATCCTGCCACGTCCGCTTCGAGTGAGCGGGTGTTCTCCCTTGGTCGCAACCTCATTTCCTGGAAGCGGCACCGCCTGGCCTCTCAGAGGACGCGAGCTGTCATGATTCTCAGATCATGGTACAGTTCACACCCTGGCCAGAGGATAGGCGAGGGCCGCCGACCGAGAGGCGTCGCACCACCAGAGTTTGCCATTGAGGGCGAGGGGGCGGAGAAGGACGACGAGGAGGAGGAGGGTGTGGAGGCTGACGACACAGCTGGTGGAGAGGATGCTGTTGTTGTTAGTAGCAGTGGCGCCTTAGCGTAGGAATTTGTTTGACATTGACATTTCCCTTCACAGAACATGATGTTGTAGTACTGGGTTTGTTGCATGCACACACATACACCCTGCAAACCTTATGCTATCATCCAAAACCATCAAAATCGTTTTTTGGCCTGTGTGACTATATTGAATACCCCCCTGGGCGAACACGAACATGTTCGCCTCGAACATGTTCGTGTTCGCCTGCTGCAGCAAATCGTTCGCCTCCTAGGGCGAACGGCGAACACCATTTTTCGCCCAAGTAGTTCGCCGAACCGAACAGTGTTCGATTCGGCAGAAGTAGATGTTCGAGAGGGGGCGAACTCGAATATTTTCGAGTTCGCCCCCTGCTCATCCCTAGTTGGGGGTAAGCATTCGCAAATTTTGTATGCATGGGGTTGGGTGGGGAAAGCATTTGCATTTTGCGTAAGTTGGGGAGTGATAGGAATAGCGTTCCCAATTTTTGTAAGTTGGGGAATTGCGGGGCGGTGGCGAGCAATCGCAAATTTCGTAGATCTAGAGGGGGGATAGCATTTCGCCTTACGTGGAGGGAAATCCAGGTGGCGAGCTGGATACGCAAAAATATGGATCCCTAACTAGCACAAGCCAGATCCAGCCTATATTTTTTCCCCCGGTTTCCCGCAATTCCCCTGCCCGCCGTTGCGTATTTCGAGCGTAACAGAGGATGCCCAAAAGCAAACACGAACGTGTTTGCCACGAACACGTTCGTGTTCGCCTCCGAAACCAAGGTGTTCCCCTTCACAGGCGAACGGCGAACACCTTTTTTTGCTTAAGGCGTTCGGCGAACCGAACAGTGTTCGGTTCGTCGAACGGCGGTGTTCGTGCAGGGGCGAACGCGAACACGTTCGTGTTCGCCTCTTGCTCATCCCTAGGGACGGGGGGCTGTTTTCCCTTGCCGTGATTAAGCACGACAACCTTGAGATCCAACCCTTGCACCACACTGCTCAAGAGGTGCTTGTCAACCCCATAGCTCCATGCCCTGCATTAGGAGCTTGAGCCGCCGCCTTCAAGGCGAAGAGGGGTGATGGGATTGGCGAGGAAGCGAACGCCATAATTACTATATTTCTTCCTTTCCGCGCGGAGCGCAGCTCTAAGTCGCCGAAGGCAGAATTGTGAGGTACGGTTAGACATGAGCACAAGGGCGAACACCTGTTCCGTTCGCCTCGAACGTGTTCGAGGCGAACCGAACATGTTTGTTTTTTTTGCTTAAATTGTTCGCCGAACAGTGTTCGATGTTCGCCCGAACACGTTCGTGTTCGGGCCGCTGCTGCAATTTGCCCCGCGACGAACACGAACGTGTTCGAGGTTCGCCCGAACATGCCTTCACAGGCGAACGGCGAACACGTGTTTTTGCTTAAAGTGTTCGCCGAACCGAACACTGTTCGGTTCGGCAAACGGATGTGTTCGTCTAGGGGCGAACACGAACATGTTCGTGTTCGCCCCTTGCTCATCCCTAGGTACGGTTTACGAAGGAGAATTGTAAGGTAGGGTTTACGAGGGAGAATTCTAAGGTAGGGTTTACGAAGGAGAATTGTAAGGTAGGGATAAAAACGTGTCGCTGCAGGGCGACGGGCGGCAGCTCGAAGCTGAGAAGACGTGCAGCTGCGGGGCGACGGGCGGCAGCCCGAAGATGACACTGCAGGGCGACGAGCGGCAGCCCGAAGGTGACGCTGCAGGGCGATGGGCGGCAGCCTGAAGATGAGGCTGCATGATGACGGGCGGCAGCCTGAAGAGAACTGACGCTACAGGGCGACAGGCGGCAGCTCGAAGAGAAGTGACGCTGTGGGGTGACAGGCGGCAGCCTGACGAGGAGGAGGAGTGCCGCGTACTCGAGAAGAACCAGCAACAAGCGCTATGCCAATGATACGATTAATCGAAAAGCGCGGAAGTCGTCGCGACGGAGCAAGGGATGAGCTTTGAAGATTTTTAAGTACATCCAGAATGAGCAAGGGATGGGGAGGGCATTGGGGGCAATCCCTAGGGATTGGGGGTAATCTCAAGGCAATCTCCAATTGGTGGGTTGGAGATTGCTTGGAGATCACAATGGGTTTGGTTTGGATGTGGGTGTACACCCAAGCAAACACAAAGTGCAAACTACACTAAACTATGATATAGAAAGTACAAGTATAAAAGGTGACATTGAGTGCTAACACTAACAAATTGTTTATGAGACTAGGGCAGTAAGGGCAAAGCACTGAGATTGTGATGCACAAAAAAATCAATGAGAATTGTCCACACCAAGTAATTACGAGTAAAACCCGACTCGTCTAAACCGAGTAATTTCTCGGAAACTGCAGACTCGGTACTCGCTCAAAAAGAGTTATGAAAATGAGTCGAGTAAAATACTCGACTCGTTGCTCATGTCTACCTGAATTCACTAATCCATTTTCCACAAAAACAAACAGAATCAAAAACCCTTTGTAGTCGAACTGAACATGTTCTGTTCAATGTGAACAGTCTTTAAGGGACTGGTGTTCAAAAGCAATGTGGGCGGATTACATACAATGGGTCCTTACAGGGTTACCAGCTTTGTCAGCAAGCCAATGCCAGCGGGGATGGAGTTGGTGAGCTGGTTGCTTACGAGCGAACTGTCGAGACGAGGGACAAGCGGAGACCGTGCAAAGGAGATGGATAAGACAAACCGTTGAGAAGGTAGGCAAGACGGTTGTTGAAGACATGAGATTAGACATGAGTACGTGTCAAACTCGGGCTGGCCCGGTTCAAACCTCCCTAGCCGGATAACCAAACCAGATTGGGTTCAAGTCTCTTCGGGTCAAGCTGACTTCTACCCTTGTTGGCCCATGCGCCGACCCGTCTATATGGGTCAGGCCTGTGGGGTTCATCACGAACCTATGTTGGATTGTCGCAGCCTAGCTCAAGTTTGGCATTACTCACATTTTTAACTATCCCATGTTTCCGAACTGTTGTTTGTTTCCCCCTATGAGAGTGTTAGTGCCTAAAGGCACTTCAACTCTGTAGTGCAAACACCTGTCGCCAAATATTCTAATCACAAAAAGGTTGACCACCCAGTTTTGTGCGGCCCTGGTTTGGCCATTGCGCATGCCTAACTAGAGTATTGACCTTGATTGCACATTCTAAAATTGTTTATTTCCAAAATTGCATATTTACAAATGAAAATTGTATACATCCTTTGTGGGTCCATCAGGACCTTTGGGAACTTGGAACCAAATTACAAGAAAGTAAGAGCAGTGAGCTTTGTGATCGAGGAGGGCGCAGATCCTGACAGCAAGTTGTACTTGAGAGAGCTGTTGGTGGTGTGGGGGTTATTAGACGCATGGGAAGAGACGAAGTGACAAGGTCGAGAGCAGAGACAGCGTGTATTGAGTAGCTCGACGAGTCGGGCTCGGCAAGACCCGGCAGTCAGCTTGAGGAGTAGTCTGCTCGTCGGTGGGCCTTGACAGTCTTGTCCAGAAGATGCGCCACTTTTACCCCATCCATGCGTAGATGGCAGATCCGCAAGGATTTGGAACACAGTGACACCACTTCTCATCCAGCATTTGACTCCGGCCCGTGCGAAAGCCGGAGCCGGGTTCTATTGACTCGACCAGCTTGCTACGACGGACGACAAACGAGCCGAGTCAGCTCCTCGAGCGGAGACGAACTCGTCTTGTCAGCCCACCAACTTGTCACGGCTCGAGAGCCAGCTCGGCCCAGACTTATGCGCTCATGTGGCACAAAAGAGCTTACACGGATGACAGAGATAGTAGAGAGCCAATTTCCACAGGGATTGAACCCGTGAGCTGATTACTCCTGAGGGACCTGCCATTGCGTACGAATGCAAAAAGGAGAAGATCAGCAGGTGGGTTATACCCAGGGCAAGCAGAAGGCCAGTGACCCGTGTCAAATGGAAGACTAGGGGATTTTCACATCAAGATGAGCCTCTAGAATTAGTCACGAGCAGGGTACCTAACCGAAGTGGTTCGTTTTATACCCCGTAAGAAAAAAAACCAATTCACTACCCAACCGAACTGTTTTGTGTTACGAACTGGTTTAGCATAGAGCCAGTTCGTGGTACGATATATAAGGCAACAAATCGAACTGGTTTGGCCGAACCGGGTTGGTTCCGTTATGAACAGAACTGGATCGGTTGGCCAGGGCCCCTTCACTGGAGTCACAACTAGCAGAAAAATAAGTAAGAGCTGTGGGAAACCCGCTAATGTTAGGTGGAAGGGGGTGTAGTATACCATGAGAAAGTTCAGGCTCAGAATGAGATTCAACTCTCTGGTTTTTAAGGTTGTCCTTGAACCGGTTCGGTTCGGCGCGGCTCGGCTAGTTGTTGTTAACGAACTGGCAAACCGACAAACCGGTTAGGTAATGAACTGAACTGGTTCATAACGAACCGGCCACACAAAAATGGCACTTTGGTTCGGCTAAAAACGAACCAAACGGCACCGAACTGAACCGCCGTTTGTCTATCTGGGATCACGAGAGGATGACTGATGATTCTTCATGAGGGATATGGTTAACGAAACCAGGGCAGTAAGTAGAAAGCAGTGATATGGTGATGGAAAATCGAATCGGGCACACTAAACCAAGGCAAGATTATCTTAGCACTATATTCGAACCACAATCCATCGATTCATAACACTGGATGAAGGGGTGTAACTGGGTGCTTCACAAATGACCTCATTCAATGCATGCATGTCCGAATGTATCGCATCACCCCTCAATGCTCATGCTCAACATCAGAAACGCTCTTCTGTGAGAGGAATCTGAGAGGCCCTCCGGCCAGCGTACTGCGTATAGACGCTAGCGTACTAAACGCGAAACGTGTTCATTCCAAATTAGGGTTGTTTTCGCTCGACCAGCTTGTTACGACGGACGAGCCACGACCAGCTTGGCTTGTCAGCCCACCGGCTTGTCTCGGCTCAAGACGAGCCGGCTCAGCCCAGAATTATGCTCATGTGGCAGAAAGGCGCCTTACAGGGATGTCAGAGATAGTAGAGAGCCAATTTCCACAGGAA